AGACAGGGTTTTGCCATGTTGGCCAGCCTGGTCTCAAACTCCTGACCTCAAGTGATCCACCCACCTTGGCCTCCCAAAGTGCTGGAATTAAGGCATGAGCCGCTGCGCCCAGCCTACTCATGGTTTTTAACAGCCAAAGATTTACTGTTGAATGGACAACTTTATTTTACTATTACTATTTTATGTAGCTTGTTTTTAGATTTCATATTACTGTTAACTCTTGAACGGTGTGAAGGTTGGGCACCAACCCCCCATGCAGTCAAAAAACCATATATAACTTTTGACTCTTAAAAACTTGACTACTAATAGCCTACTGTTGACCGGAAGCCTTAGCAATAACGTAAACAGTTGTTAACACATTTTACATGTTATATGTATGTATTATATGCTGTATTATAGTGTAAGCTAGAGAAAAGGAAATATTAAGAAAATCATAAGAGATATTTACTATTAAGTGGAAGTGGAAATGGATCATAAAGGTCTTCATCCTTGTCATCTTGAATTGACTGAGGAGGAGAGGAGGAAGTAGTTGGTCTTGCTGTCTCAAGGGCGGCAGAGGTGAAAGAAAGTCTGCATATAAGTGGATTCTGCAGTTCAGGCTACTGTTTAAGGGTCATCAGTACAAGGAAAGCAAAAATGAATCGGGGCGGTGTGCATCTAAATTTTTGTTTAAAAGTTCTCAGTATTGGATTCTTCGGTCCTGACCCGTTCATTATCTTTTTACCCTTGATCAGAAGTTAATGAAAAGTACATTTCTTGGTAAACTGAATTGATAATTCCTGTCCTGAGAGTGTGGGACAATACCTCTGAATCTTGAGTTTATTCAGAGTGTTTTACTAGAAACCAACACTAAGACTGTAACACAGGGTAAGCAGTACCTAGTCTGACCTGTGCCTGAGAGGTTAGGCCACTGGCTGGGTACATGCCATTCCATCCTGTTGTCAGTTTAATGATCTTGCAGAAGACTTCTCCGTGAATGTTCACCATTTAGTGTCAGGCCTTAAACTAAGTTTTTTACATACACTTAATCCTCATGGCCTTTTGTGGTAGATCTTATCCTGGTTTTGTACATGATGAAACTGTCATGGACAACATCTGTATTTGCCCAATATCTTAAGTTAGCAGAGGATGGACGTTAGCTGTAGCCTTTGGGGTTGGCTGAAACTAGCTCTGTGACTTGTTACTTGAGGGAAGGGACGGGAGGGGGCTGTTGTAAACGGCAACTGAACATTAAGCCTTTAACTGAGGTCCTGGGGGACATTTCAGAGTTCTGGCACCGCCTTCCCTTTGCGTTGGAGGACTTCACATAAGCCCAGAACCTTTCAGAGCCCAGTAATGATATGGAGAAGAGGACCCTCCCTGGCATTTACTCTTGGCTCAGGAGAGAACAGCTGAAAACATACTTAGACCAAGTTTGTCCAGCTGAAGACAATTCTAGTGTGGCCCAGGGATCTAAAAAAATTGGACACCACTGACTTATACCAAGGGTGTGTTTCTATAGGAAGAGCAGGTAGGCCTGGGGGAGAGGAGCCCCTTGAGCTAGGAAGGGACCAGAGGAGAGTTTATATTTCTACTTTAGTTGTCTGCCATGGGGCAGGGACACATGCTGGTGAGAACGCTGGTTCTTTTTTTTTTCCTTTGGCATAGACACTGCCTTTTTTTTTTTTTTCAGACAGATTTCGCTCTTGTCACCCAAGCTGGAGTGCAGTGGCGCAATGTTGGCTCACTGCAGTCTCCACCTCTCGGGTTCAAGCGATTCTCCTGCCCCAATCTCCTGAGTAGCTGGGATTACAGGTGTGCACTGACACGCCTGGCTAATTTTAGTAGAGATGGGGTTTCATCACATTGGCCAGGTTGTTCTCAAATTCCTGACCCCAGATGATCCACCTGCCTTGGCCTCCCAAAATGCTGGGATTAAAGGCGTGAGCCACCTTGCCCAGCCGACATGGCCTTTTCTTAACCAAAAGTTTAGCTTTTTTAAAAAATCAAGGTTGTATATGCAAATTGAAGACCCAGCTGATCCAACAAGGCTTGTAAGAAAATCTGAGGTCTGCCAACATTTCCCTTTCCTGAGGCAACTATTTTCAGTTCTTTTGGTATTAGCCTCTGTGTATCTAAATAATATACTTGTGTTACTATTTCCCTCTCGCATATTTTGGCTGAGTATGGGTGACACTTACGGGACTACTGGTCCTTTATCTTGGGTACGAGTTCTCTACCAGGGGTGACTTGCTCTCCCCAGTCCCCATTTCTGACTCTGCCTTATCCCATTTGTGGTAATATTTGGAGACATTTTTGGTTGTCACGATTGGGAGCTGGTACTGACCAGAGATGCTGCTGTAAGCATCCTACAGTACACAGGGCAACTCCGCAACAGAAAATCCCTGGCTGAAATGTTGGTGGTGCTGAGGCTGAGAAACCCTGAAATAGGGGGATCTGGTTGGGCTCTTTCCTTGGAGGAACCCCAGAAAAGCCTCAGAAGGCTAAAAGCCTGACTAATGAAAGTTCTGGGGCTCAGTGAGGAAAGTGGTCACCACATATTTTAACCTTGCTGTTTTCAGCCTAGACAGCCCTTCCTTTGGGTGGCTCCAATAGGATGGGTTTAGTTACCACAGTTAAGGTAAATAATACCAGTCCCCTGACAACACGGTTCACATTTCAGTTACTGTGGTCTACTAACTGAGTTACTATAAAGCAAAGTCTCCAGTGTTAGCTCTTCAGTCCTCAGATCACCCCTTTAGAAAATAACCGGCACATCATGAGGCATGATCTGTCATCACTTCTTTCAAAGTCTGTTGGTGATTGGCTACTGTGCATTTATTACTCAGTACACTGCAGATGATAAAACTTTTGGTTGTGTTGCCTTCTAGTGGGAGAGTTATTACTGTAGACTAACTTTCAGTGCTACTGTGGGATTATGCTCCAGTTCCTTTGAAGGCTTGAGTAAAAATGAAAATTTGCTTTTTACCATCAAACACAACTTTCATTAATCCAGCCAATGCACAAAGAGATAATTTTGATTTGTGTTTTTTTGAGACAGAATCTTGCTCTGTTGCCCAAGCTGAAGTATGGTGGTGCGATCTCAGCTCACTGAAACCTCCCCCTCCCAGTTCAAACAATTCTCCTGCCTCAGCCTCCCGAGTAGCTGGGACTACCACCATGGCTGTGAGTGCCACCACACCCAGCTAATTTTTTTTTTTTTTTTTTTTGAGACAGAGTGTCACTCTGTCACCCAGGCTGGAGTGCAATGGCACGATCTTGGCTCACTGCAACCTCCGGCTCCCAGATTCCAGTGATTCTGCCTCAGCCTCGTGGGTAGCTGGGACTACAGGTGCACACCATGATGCCCAGATAATTTGTGTATTTTTAGTAGAGATGGGGTTTCACCACGTTGGCCAGGCTGATCTTGAACTCCTGACCTTGTGATCCACCCGCCTTGGCTTCCCAAAGTGCTGAGATTACAGGCATGAGCCACTGTGCCCGGCCACACCCAGCTACTTTTTATATTTTTTGTAGAGATGGGGTTTCACCATCTTGGCCACGCTGATCTTGAACGCCTGACCTCAAGGGATCCACCCACCTTGGCCAGGCTGGTCTTGAACTCCTGATCTCAAGTGATCCACCTGCCTTGACATCCCAAAGTGCTGGGATTACAGGCATTAGCCACGGTACCTAGCCATTATTTTGATTTTTAAAGCTCATTATAGTCTATGAATTTTGGATAGGCCATTGATGCTACATCCAGAAATCTTGCAATTTTTTGTTGTTGCTGTTGAGATGGAGTCTCTCTCTATTGCCCAGGCTGGAGTGCCCTGGTGCTATCTTGGCTTATTGCAACCTCTGGCTCCTGGGTTCAAGCAATTCTTGTGCTCCAGCCTCCTGAGTACAGTCATGTGACACCACGCCTGGCTAATTTTTTATATTTTTAGTAGAGATGAGGTTTCACCATGTTGGCCAGGCTGGTCTCGAACTCCTGGCCTCAAGTGATATGCCTG